TGGAACTATGTATATAGGTTGAATATCTGAAATAATCGTGGGACTCCCACAGAATGAATTTTGATTTTGTTTGAAAAATAGTAAATTTTTTGAAAATTTCTGGAGAGGATTAGCGGAACTGAGTGGAAGTTACATATATCCCACTATATGGAAATTTTAGTATAAAGGGTACCTAATGGAACTATATAGGTTGAATATCTGAAATAATCGTGAAAAATAGTACATTATGTATGTATGTATGTATGTATGTATGTATGTATGTATGTATGTATGTATGTATGTATGTATGTATGTATGTATGTATGTATGTATGTATGTATGTATGTATGTATGTATGTATGTATGTATGTATGTATGTATGTATGTATGTATGTATGTATGTATGTATGTATGTATGTATGTATGTATGTATGTATGTATGTATGTATGTATGTATGTATGTATGTATGTATGTATGTATGTATGTATGTATGTATGTATGTATGTATGTATGTATGTATGTATGTATGTATGTATGTATGTATGTATGTATGTATGTATGTATGTATGTATGTATGTATGTATGTATGTATGTATGTATGTATGTATGTATGTATGTATGTATGTATGTATGTATGTATGTATGTATGTATGTATGTATGTATGTATGTATGTATGTATGTATGTATGTATGTATGTATGTATGTATGTATGTATGTATGTATGTATGTATGTATGTATGTATGTATGTATGTATGTATGTATGTATGTATGTATGTATGTATGTATGTATGTATGTATGTATGTATGTATGTATGTATGTATGTATGTATGTATGTACTATTTTTCAAATAAATCAAAATTCATTCTGTGGGAGTCCCACGATTATTTCAGATATTCAACATATATAGTTCCACCAAGTACCTCTTAAACTAAAATTTCCATATAGTGGGATATATGTAACTTCCACTCAGTTCCACTAATCCTCTCAAAAAATGTATTATTTTCGAAACAAAATCAAAATTCATACTGTGGGAGTCCCATGATTATTTCAGATATTCATCCTATATAGTTCCATTAGGTTCTCCATTAGGTACCCCTTAGACTAAAATTTCCATATAGTGGGATATATGTAACTTCCTCTCAGTTCCACTAATCCTCTCCAGAAATTTTCAAAAAATGTATTATTTTTCAACTAAAATCAAAATTCATTCTGTGGGAGCCCCACGGTTATTTCAAATATTCAACCTATATAGTTCCATTAGGCACCCCTTAGACTAAATTTTTCATATATTGGGATATATGTTACTTCCACTCAGTTCCACTATTCCTATCCAGAAATTTTCAAAAATTTTATTATTTTTCAAATAAAATCAAAATTCATTCTGTGGGAGTCCCACGATTATTTCAGATATTCAACCTATATAGTTATATATAGTTACCCTTTATACTACAATTTCCATATAGTGGGATATATGTAATTTCCACTCAGTTCCACTAATCCTCTCCAGAAATTTTCAAAAAAAAGGTTAAATTTTTAAGATGTTCCAGGGTTATTTCATATATCCCACTAATGGAGCTCCATTTTCCATCCCCAGGATCATCATTTCTATATGGTGAGATATGTGTAACTTCCACCCAGTTCCACTAATCCTCTCAAGAATTTTTTAAAAAAAGTTTAAATAATTAAGGCATTCCAAGATTATTTCAGATATACCATTAATGCGGATCCAGGGCATATCGCTAGGACTACCATTTCCATATAGTGGGACATGTGTAACTTTCATTCAGTTCCAGTAATCCTGTCCAGAATATTGGTAAACAAAGTTGAATGTTTAAGTAGGTTTACTATAAATACAGATATATTACATACACAGTTCCATTAAGGAGCCTTTGGACCACCATTTCCATATAGTTGGAGTGTGGAACCTTCATCTTGCTTCCAAAATGGTCAGTTTTCCTTCTCCTAATTCAATTACAATATTCTGTTAAGTGATTAACAGCGCTCTGCAAGCTGCAAAATGAGCACTGTTAACAAATCTGGTTTGTGTCTTTGCTAGTTAAATTCGAATTTAACTTCACACACACATTATCGTGTTTATGTGTATTCAACGTCTACCTAGTTCTACAATTATTTTATGGGAACAGGGCATTAGGACAAACTAAGTTTATCTACATGGAAAGATTTAGATAACTTTCTGAAGGATAGAATTCAGACTTTGCAATGTCTTCATGAAGTTAAAGGTACAAACTCCACTAATATGGAATCTTCAGTGCAATCTCACAATTATTCCGTTAAAATTTCTTGTATTTTATGTCCTAATCAGTCCCACTACTTGCGAAATTGTCGTCGCTTTAAAAGTCTTTCAATATCTGATAGAATTTCAACAGTGAATGAGCATAACTTGTGCACAATTGCCTTTCGAGGACACATACTGCCAGATGTTGCAAAATAAATAATAATTGTTATATATGCAATAATCGACATCACTCGATGCTTCATTTACAACATTCAGAAAATTCTGTGGTTGAAAGACCGACAGAATTCTTGTGCGGTTCTACGACCCAATAATTCCCACTACCAACAATCACATACGTCCAATACTGTAACGTTCAATTCACAAGTAATTCATACTAGTCAGCATCAGTCTGTTCTATTAGGGACAGCTACGGTAAATATAATTCATAATAACAATAAGTATCAGGTCCGCGTTTTAATTGATTCGGGTTCGGAATGCTCTTACATTTCTGAACGATTACGAAAAAGGCTAAAACTTCACACACATTCTGCACACGCTAAAGTTTCTGGCATCAATAATGTTGTTATTGGAGTTTCTATATATTTTCCTGTGGAAATTGGTTCCGATCTAGACTCTTCAGTAAACCTTAGTACAAACGCATTTGTTTTACCAAAAATTTCGGGAAATTTGCCTTCAACTTCCGTAAATGTCGATATTAAAAAGTTATTGCCAAATCTTCGTTGGGCGGATTCTAATCTTTTAGATAGTAGGCCTGTAGATATTCTTATTGGTGCGGATTTATATCATCGTATTATTTTACCGGAAGTACAGCAAAATATCTTAGGGTCATTATTGGCACAGAAAACTGTATTTGGATGGATTCTGACAGGACCAGCCAATCCTAGGAACTTTGAATCACATATCGCAAATTTACAATACACTACGTGGTTTAACGCTTCTTAACGTTTGTTTGAATATCACTTAAAATGCTCACAAGAATATATTTACGTCTACTTTAACATACATACTAATTTTAAATACACCACTTTGGGGTTGGGTCATTTATGACCAAGCCCCTCTTTAAGGGGCCCAGTTCATGGTCTGCTTAAAACCATTCTCCATTTGAGAGCAGTATATAGTCTGCGGAAAACTACATCCCATAGGCTTTGTTCTATGGGAACCCTTATTCTACGAACACAGTTCATGGTCTGCTTTAAAATCATTCTCCCTTTGAGAGCAGTAGGCAGTTTGCGGAAAACTACATCCCATAGGCTTTGCTCTATGGGAACCATTATTTTACCAGCCCAGTCTGGTGTGAAACCTTTGATCACTTGTTTTATTAAAGAAGAAAAAAAGTATTAACAAAAAAAGTAATAATAATAAATCTATAGATATAGATCTCAATGTTAATTGCAACACTCTTTAGTGTTGCAAGGTGGCCGGCAATGTTCAAGTTCGATTTATGGTTTACAAATATAAATTTTTGCAACGTTAGAATCATATACTATATGGTTAGAATCTTATTAAGCTCCACTTTGTTGGAAAATTCTATCGAGTAAACCGGTAACGGTACCTAAATATTGTTTGCCACCAATATACGTTTTGTAAATTAAATACACTTCTTTTCTGATCGTAAACATAAGCACTACGTGCTCTTGGCTTTATTACTTCTACGTGTTAAAATATAAATAAATAAATACAGAGAGATCTACGTCTCATTAAATTTGCAAACATTTTGTTTTATTTTCATAAAATCTTGGGAAATTGTGGTGGAGCTGAACAATCCATTATTATATACGCCATTGTCAACTATCATAACAACTGATAGGTTACACTATTAAACAATTTGTTTATTTACTAGAAATAAATCGCGTTGATAGAAACAAACTTTTCAATTTCAATAGTTTTTTGCTTTTCCTGTAAAATTATAAAAATGTTAGATAGGGCCGTTTGCGTTTTAGGTGACGATATATTCTTGTATACGGATGATATTCATTTAGTTTTCTAAGGTAAGAACCATTTTCTAGACTCCTGGAATGATCGTAGTAAATAATATTGAATTTGTTGATTATATGTATTGTTTAGGCGTTATTTCGGAGGGATACTTATTTTTGTTAAACATATAAACATAGTAAAGTCTAAAGTTTGTTTTGTTGTATAGTTTGGGACATTACTCATCTCTTAATATTAGAGTTATGGTGGATTATTTCTTAATTCTCAATAGAATTGTTAGGCAAGTTTATGGATTGAGGTTAAATGTTTCTTTGGTTTATCCTTTTCTTCGTATGTAAGACTGAGACTACTTTTAACATTTTAAAAGATAATTTATACAGGATATCCACTAGCTTTAAAGAATGATTTTGTATTTTCTCATTCGATTCGTTCTCTTCAGATAATAATAATAATTTTGTCGTCAGAATCTCTCGTATCTGGAATAGACTACCTAACAATCTTAAAATATCTTCCTTGCCAGAAGCTATCTATTTTCTACGATTTCCTACCTCTGAATTGCTATAATGTTCCGTGTTAATGTTATTCGTCTATATTTTTTATTTATATAAAAAGCATCATATAGTTAAATATTATATTGAAATCATATTTTATTATACATATACATATAATTTATTAATGCACTTAATTTTATGAATTCTTTCACATTTTTGTTAAACTTTTAACCATATACTGCCCATAAGGGCTAGGTCAAATAAATAAAATTAAAATAAATAAATGTGGAGCAATTTATGTTTATCTATATTTTTATAACGTAAAACCTTGTTTTACCTTCTGATAATTCTAAATCAAGTTCAGCTAACTTCTCTCTTATCTCAGCGGGAAGAGACATCTCAGCACCACCCAAACAATTTCCAGACATTTTTAAAGAATAATTACACAGGTACCACTCCTTTTACGAACAGTAAAATGCTATTTCTTAATTGGTTGTTTTATAATTTGAATACTTCAATTTTTGTTCGCATAAATACACAAGCACTTTATCATTATTCAATTGTATATTTAATAATTAAAAATACAAATGATTTTTATTTAATTTTTTATTATAAATGTATGTATATATATGTAAATATTTTATGTATACGAGAGCTCTGCTATAAGCATTTGTCACTAGGATATTATTATCCTGACTTTATTGAAACGCTAGAACTATTCGAGATAAAAATCCTTATACTTTGCTCGTTTGAATTCTTCCAAGTATTCACACAATTGCTAATTTTACATTAATATTATATTATTATTATAAAAAACAATACAAAAAATGCAGACAATAAGATACTAAACAGATTTCTTTCAATGCAAAAACTCTATGTGACACCAAAGACCTACGCCGACAAAATGAATGGAACCGGCGGCTGGCACTAAATTTTTATCGACGGCTTAAAATTGGTACAAAACTGCTAAGTTTCCATATTATAATACAATTTATTTGAGATAGGGATATTAAAATTTTGATAAATTTTAAGTAATGTTAGTCTTTTTTATTTCGGAAATGAAACATTGTATTTAGGGATAATATGTACTGGAGAAAACAAATTTAAAAAAAATTCAATTTAATGAATTTATTTTGTATTTGAATCATACGAAAATTTATGATCAAGGTGACTTAAACAAAAGTCGCATTTTACATTTGACATGTTTGTATTTAAAAAGAAAATAATGAAGTATTTTATTTACTTTATTTAAGTAAAGCTTGGTTATCGTTTCCTCAGCTCTACTACCGTTATCTCTACAATATCCTTACCGAATTACAGTTATTTTATATTATTTTAAAAAAATTTCCTTCTTAATTTTTTTTTTATTTTATCGGGAATTCCCGAGTTCCTGGGAATGTGAATATTTTTTTCCCGATTCTCGGAAATCAAAAAACGTCGGGAATTTGGAAACCCTAGTGGCAATACATTTAAAGAAACAATGAAAAAATTCAAAGGTGAACTATACAGAATGGTTTTAATTCCGTAAATATTCCGATTTGTCTTAGCTTCTATAAATTTTTTAATTAAAAAAGTATAATCCCTTTATTTGTACTTTTTTAATAAGGTTCAAAATTTATAATTGAATTTTTAAACATTTCGCGTAGCCCGAATAGGTTGAACTAGCTATGAAAATATAAGTGCTGCAGACAGTAAATCCTTTCAAACGTTAAATTCATACACACCCATATATTTCTAATGGACAAGAGATTTTTAAAAAAATAATTCAAATGGATTTTTATGAGAAAAATTTTTGCAAATTGAAGCATATAAGTTTGTCATAGAATAAATAGATAAAAACATCTCGAAGAATAAAGATATGACGGAGATAAAAACTTTATTTTGAAGTCAACAGATTAGACTTTCAAATGACATAACCGATTTTATCAACAAAGAAATCTTTCCGCTGTTCTAATAACTCAAATATAGCTAAAAAAAAGTTTGCCAGCCAGAGTTTGTTATCTTCTCGTGGCTAAGTAAATTAATAAAGTAGCATCCAAAGTATATTAATAAAGTAGCATCACTTGAACAGCTGACTATTTTTTTTAAACTAGATAAATGAAGCAAGTTGTCAAAGTTTGTTTTGAAAATTGTTAACATTGTTTACGTCGCCATTTTTAAATTGTGTTTTGCTATTTGTTAAAATTTGTGAAAAGTTGAAAAAGTGAATTAAAAGTGGTTTTAAATTAGTTTAAAAGTGTAATAAATTGTATAATATATAATAATATAATTAAATTGTTAATATTTTTAACTTAAAAGTAATATTTTTTATTTATGTTTTGTTCACATTGTTGTTCAAGGAAATTTTATTTTGACACAATCTTAAATTATTCCAAAAACAAAATACATGTGGTTGTTGTAGATGTTGTTGTACAACAAGAGATGTCGCTACTTTATTAATATACTTTGGTAGCATCACTTGAACAGCTAACTATTTTTTTTAACTAGATAATTGAAGCAAGTTGTCAAAGTTTGTTTGCTTACATCGCCATTTTTAAATTGTGTTTTGCTATTTGTTAAAATTTGTGAAAAGTTGAAACGTAAATTAAAAGTGGTTTTAAAGTAGTTTAAATGTTTTTAAATTGTATAATATATAATAATATAATTAAATCCTTAATATTTTCAACTTAAAAGTAATATTTTTTATTTATGTTTTGTTCACATTGTTGTTAAAGGAAATTTGATTTTGACACAATCTTAAATTATTCCAAAAACAAAATACATGTGGTTGTTGTAGATGTTGTTGTACAACAAGATATGTCGCTACTTTATTAATTTACTTTGATATAATAAATCTGAGATGTCACGCGAAATTGACTTAAAGGGCCATTCACTTTACGTACGCAAAGTCTAATGAAAAAGTATAATGAAATTCCATCTGTATGACATGATGAAAACAGCTGTTTCACTTTTTTGTATGTGTTTACATAAAAATACATCCCTGATCTAATGCGACTTGCAAATTTTCCATCCGTATTTTCTCTCAATATGTGTGGTTTCATTACATATAGCGTTTATACGATCCCATCCGTTCTCTTCTATACAAAATTTTGACAAATCATATTACTTGTGTGCTCGTCTAAAGCTAGGTACTCTGTTCAAAATTTCGTGCGAAATGCTGTCAAACTACATATAAAATATTTGGTATGAAATATTTGCGAAATAATTTCGCAAAGCAGTACTCTGTTCTTATTGTGAAAAACATTGTGAAATTTATCTGGCAACCTTGTTTTTCAACTTACGAAATATTATAAGCAGACGTCCGTCCAGTTAGCAACGAAAAATAGCAACGGCAGAGAAAATTTTGGGAATTAAGTGGCAACACCACAGGGGAAAAATATATTGCTTAGCTAATAAAAAATACCATGGAAAACTCAATGGAAAGAGGTGGGAAACACAAAATGGAATCAAGACTATATATAGTCTTGGAACTATAGCTCCTTGTAAAATTAGATTCCTCTAAAAAGCGGTCAGAAAATCGTTGCTGGTGAACTGTATAGGATCTAAGAAGTGTCGCGCCAAAAACTCTTTGGAATATGGTAGGAGACATGGTAAGGATTAAAAAAATCCTTCCGTGCAAAAAATCGGTAGAGCAGATCCTTGGAAAATTGGCTTCTTCCAAAATGGTCAGTAAAATCGTTGCTGGTAAACTATATAGGATCTAGCGAGTGTCGCGCCAAAAACTCCTTGGAATATGATAGGAGACATTGTTAGGTAAATCCTTCCTAGAAAAAAATCGGTAGAGTAGATCCTTGGAAAATTAGATTCCTCCAAAATGGTCAGTAAAATTGTTGCTGGTAAATTATACAGGTTCTAAGAAGTGTCGCGCAAAATACTCCTTGGAATATGGATTAAAAGTATTAAGGATTAAAAAATCCTTCCGTGCAATATATCTACCGACTAGATACTTGGGAAGGTGGAAAGTCGATAAGTGAAAATTGCAAAAGTCGAAGAGTCGACTTTTCATGCACATATTGCAAAACGTCGAAAGTCGATGTTTTATTTTAATTATGGAACTTGCAGCGTCGTATTTTTTAGTATTAGTTAAGAAAAAGCAGAGTTGCAACCAACGAAATCTACTTACGAAGTATATTTTGTTTGGTATGGGAAATCTAGTTAAAATCAAATAGATTTGGCTCGAAATCTCATAAGTACTAGATTTCATAGTGGTGTAAGTGGGCTATTACACTTAATATTTTTTGACATTAAAAAAAGTTAAATTTTTTCTGATATTTCTCCATATTTTGTTTGACATAAAAAATTTGAAAAAAATATGAGATATATTTCATTTATATTCAATAATTGCATTAACTTTTTTATACCCTTCACCTTCGTGAGAAGGGTATATATAGAGCCCATTCATCTATCAGTTTTGATAGGGTCGTCAAGGGAGCGTGAATATCCTTTTGCGCAAGGGTTAAGTCCAGGGACGACCCTTTGGTTGCGCATTCATCAGATATTTCATTTCCCCGGATGCCCTCATGTCCTGGAACCCATATCAACTCAACGTGATGTTGTGTCAGTTGTGCCAACGATTGAATGCAATTGAGAAGACATTCCGACTTAATAACATTGGAGTTAAGAGCCTTGATTGATGCAAGGCTGTCCAAGTATATATGTATAGTCGAATTTTCGAGATTTAGTTCCCGGATTCTTCTCGCGGCAGTATAGATGGCATATATCTCTGCCTGAAGGACCGTGCAGGTGTCAGGTAGTCGAAGAGACAGTAGAAGATTTAGTTTATCGGAGAAGATTCCCGATCCCGTGCCTCTTTCTGTCTTTGAGCCATCTGTGTAGATTGAGATCACGTCATCCCTTAGGACAGTATTCGCGGCCCAATCATCCCTTGTCGGTATTTTGGTCTTGAATGACCTATTAAAATTCAGTGTAGATAGAATGTAATCTGTTTCCTGTCCCAAGATAGGCCTGCCTATCTTTTGTAGGATGGTGCCATGACCAATGCGGTCGTGCTTCAACCCGTTCGACTGTTTAAGTCGTAGAGCAGATTTAGCAGAAATGCATTTGATGTATATATCAAGGGGAGTTATGTTCAGCATCGTCTCTAGACTAGCATGAGGGGTGGAACTCAAACAGCCAGTGATTGCAAGACATTTCCTTGGCCCATGATAGTAGAACGCTGAGGGCTGATTCCATGAGTTCACTTATTGTGGGAAGAAACTTCCCTTGAATAAGGAGCACGACGTCGTCAGCATATGCGACTACTTTGAAGCCCATCCTACTGAGTCTGAAAAGGATTTTATTCACGACAAGATTCCACAGGAGTGGAGAGATAACACCACCTTGTGGTGTGCCCCTTGTCACGACCTTCCTTGTCTTGCCAATACCCATATTAGAGTTAATGGCCCTACTCTTAAGCATGTTTTCTGTCCAGTTTTTTATCCGCTGATCGACACCTAGGTCACCCAGTGCATCGACTATTGCGGAGATGTTCACGTTGTTAAACGCACCCTCAACGTCCAAGAAAGATGCCATAACATATTCCTTTATGTCAAGTGCCTTCTCTATGGTTCCGACAACGTCATGTAAGGCTGTCTCCACCGACCTTCCTTTCAGGTATGCGTGTTGTGCTCTACAGAAGTTATCAGGAGAGATGATGCTCATGACATGGATGTCGACCAATCTTTCCAATGTTTTCAATAAAAACGATGACAGACTGATCGGCCTATAGTCTTTGGCGGTACTAGGGTTTACTTTTCCCGCTTTGGGGATAAATACCACTGTAACCTCTCTCCATACTTTAGGAATGTATCCTGTTTCCAGGCTGCTCCTAAATATCATAATGAGCCATGGCATGATGGTGGTGATCGATTTTTGGAGTAGTGCTGGGAATA